CATGAGCTAACGAGGCTATTTCACTAGGCCATAACTAACTTTAGGCAACTCATTTTGAATTCAAAATTACTACCACGAAGAGGAAAAGACAAAGAAACGGGCACATAGAAAGTTAGACATAAAGAAATACAAAATACAAACTGTATCAGAGAGGGAGAGATATACAGAATACAAACTGTATCAGAGAGTGAGAGATATACAAAATACAAATCAGTCATACAAGGTACCCCAAAATTTGGATAGATTAAGTATTTGGGTTGTATTGGAAGTTATCAAACCCGCCCTCAGGCTAGGTTTATTCCAATAAACGGCCGACCAAGGACGCGATCATAAATTTTAACATTTTATTCATTATAAATTTGAATTTTCTCATTTAAATTGCATTATTATATTAACATTGTGCATTTTTACGCGTAAATTTGGTTGATGGTTTAGGTTCAGTTTGCAAATATTTGTATGTGAAGTACGAGCATGAAGCATGTACAGAGTTGCGATTCGAACAAGTCACCAGCGAAACATTGTTCGAGGAATGTTCCTACGGCATCAATTATGAATCGAGTGTAACAGTTCGTCTTCACCAAGTAAGACAAAACAGCTAGCAACCTTCCTGTTTAAGAAAATGAAAAACACGTTTACACACACGACTCAACTGTATCACGTTCGAACATTTCTCGAAAAAATTATTTGCTGACACCCTCTGTTTGAATCGCAAGTCTACAAATGCTTCACCCACGTACTTCGAAAACAAAATTAAATTGCCGGCAGAACCTAAAAATCTAACCTAACTTAACAAACGATTAGCTTTACACAACTCAAATAAATAATAATATTAATTGTTTATATTAGAACAAACTTTCTTTGAATGCACAATACGGAAAAACTGATGAACGAGTCATGGGGAAACGGTCGCTGCTTTAACAAGCCTGGCCTGAGGACTAAGTAGTGTGTATAGCATTCATTAACTAAGGTTTGGCGGCTAGATTAACTAATATTTGGCCTTTGTTTATGATAACAGGCTGCATCTCGGAGCCGATATATCCTATCTCTTTAAGTTTTCGAACTGTAATGTTCGATACGTAGTTGATACTTTACAGTACTTCAAGCACCGCATGTGTGTATATAGGCTTACCGTACAGGTTTGTCACTTAAGCAAGTAATTGTGAAAAGAGTGCGCCAAGTCGAGGAGACTGCGTAGCGACGTAATATCCAAATTACACCCTTCGCCAGCACATGACCTCTGTGTAAGCACGTGTCACCCCTCTCACTGGAAGCAAGTTCACTGTACTGACCTCCAATTGTCTTAGACTGTACCTGAACACTGAAACGATTCACACTCCTGAAACGAGACACGAGTTGAGCAACAATGAATCTTCGACTATGTTTACACATTCATTTCGTCTTGTAGCTGTTAGGGGGATTTGTGTGTGTTTTGATGCCGTTGTACTGTTTTGTCTGTTTAATTAACAATTGACTTGATTAACGCCTCAGGTTCACATTCCTCTATTTTAGCAAATTATTTGGTAATTAATTAATCAAGATTAGTTGGAAAATTAATTAATTGGTAACTTCTCTCACTAACAAAAGTGTTTGTTATTTCTGATAATTATTTTAATTCCAACACTGTGGCATCCCATCGCACCCCCCCTTCACGCATCCCAACGCACTCTCTGACGCATCCCTGAGCGCATCCCAACGCACCCCAGGACGCATTAGCCCAGGGAAAAAAACAACAAAATTCAAGCCCAAGGTAAATATGTAACCCACACCATTTCAATATTTGCTGGCAGACGAAGGATTTGTTGAGGATACGAGGGGTGAGGACGGGCAGGTGGGTACGTCACGTCCTCATAGTAGAAGTCAGAGGTCACGAGGAAGGTCAAGGGGTCACGAAGAAGGTCAAGGGTCACCAGCATGCTGAGCGTAGTCGTCATGAAGAGGCCGGATGAGTCGGCCGACCATAAAGGGAATGTTAAAGCTGAGTCGCAGGCAAGGGGGAGTGAGGTATCAGACATGATATGCTGCAGTTAGGGGACACTGGGAAGCTGGGGTGAGTTAATTGACCCTGTATGGCTTCTTAAGGTCATTTGCGACGGGGATAGTTGATTGACCTCGATTGGCTTGTTGAGAGGGGTTACTTGGGGGGGGGGGGGGAAGATATGAACGATGGCTGTTTAAATGCTCGTATGTTGATGTCCTTAATATGACTAAATTGTTAAATTCTGACTTGACCTGGTGGGTGCGGCGATGCTCTTGCATCTTGCGGGGCCGGCGTTCGATCCCCGATGGTCTAAGTGGTTGGATTCCATTCCTCCACTCCGTCCTCATATCCCAGACCCTTGTCCTCGTATCCCTACCAATTACTACATAGTCATACTGCCCTGGCGATTTCTACTTATATTTAATATTCCTTTATCTCTCTGTCTATCAGTGTGATTGAATGACTTTCTATGTCTCTATCTCTGTCTGTCTGTCTCTCTCTTTCTCTTTTCTGTCTATTTGTTTCCTTTATTTGGCTATGTGCGCCTCTTTCCCCGTTCTCTGAAATATTACCACTGTACCGCATACTAATGTCAATACCGGCTGTTGTTATATTTGTGGAAGTGATTAGAAATTTGCGTTATTATGCCATAAATCTGGCATCGGTCCAGTTTACCTTCTCCTCGATTCTCATTTATCCTGAATTTTCATTGGTTTAATTTACATTGTTTTAACTGGAGGGATTTGTCGAAGGTTGATTGGTTCAATTTGGTCCGTGCAAATTCACGTAAAAATTTACCTGTGAGGTGATTGTTTTAATTGTATATTTTAAAATAATAATGGTCTTTTTTTTAGCGATGAAAAAAAATGTTAATTTTTTTTTTGCTATTAGTTAATTTACTTAATCTCCCCCCACTCTCTTAATCGTGGATCAGTTAATGATCATATAATTGTTGATTCAGGTTGGGATTAATTGGGCTTACTGCATTGCTATTGTTTGTTTGATCGTGGGGGGGGGGGGGGAAGTGTGATTTGTTGTAAAGTTTAGTAATTTTGTGTTATCTGGGGCCAGATTCACGAAAGTACTTACGCAAGCACTTACGAACCTGTACATCTTTTCTCAATCTTTGGCGGCTTCGTTTACAATTATTAAACAGTTAATGAGCTCCGAAGCACCAGGAGGCTGTTTACAACAATAAAAACAGTTGAATGGCAAGTTTTCATGCTTGTAAACTATTTAATAAATGTAACCAAAGCCGTCTATGATTGAGGAAAGATGTACACGTTCTTAAGTGTTTGCGTAAGTCCTTTCGTGAATCTGGCCTCTGGTCACGATATCCTGTGATTGATCATGTCGCTCTGTGATTTATCGTTTCGCGATGTTATTGATGTCGTTCAGTGATTTTCCATGTTGCGCTGTAAATAGTATTGTGTTTTAGTGGACGAAAAGTTCAAAATATTCGACATTTCAGCCCATTAAAGAAAAAAAATGGTTTTGGTAATCTGTGATGGTGACCTAAATATTGTTTTTGTTATGGAAATTATATGCGCCGGTGAGTCTGATAGTGATCAAGCAGGCTGTGATAGGCTCTGTTTATATACCCTTCTTCCCATTGTCCGTATAGCTGCTCGCGTAGGTGTACTACTCTCATATTTAAATTGTATGTTTTGTTTTTCATTTTGTGAGACAATGTTTGTTTGATTATAGCCGTCTGGTTTGTGGGGTGAGTGAGTGAGTGTGAGTGAGTGAGAGCGAGTGTGAGCGAGTGTGAGTGAGTGTGAGCGAGTGTGAGTGAGTGAGTGAGTGAGAGCGAGTGTAGATAATACTGAAAATATATTTACAGACGAGTCACACTATATGTCTCTCTTTTCCGCCTTTTCTTCCTTCCTCTGCCCCCCCTCTCTCTCCCTCCCTCTCTCTCTCTCCCTCTCTCTCCCTCTCTCTCTCTCCTCTCTCTCTCCCTCTCTCTCTCTCTCTCTCTCTCCCTCTCTCTCGTATTACACAGCCACGTATAATTTTACCTGGAGCAATGCCTGATATTCAATAATTTTTCCCAACTCGCATTATATTTGCAAGATTTAATTGTGCCAATATTTTTTCCGTTCCCGGTCAGATTAGACCCACATTGCAACCAACTGATTGTCTATTGACTGGAATTGTTACAATTTTCTAACTGGTTAAATTGTTCTGTGGTGCTAATGATTGTGATGGTAGTGTGGGGATGATAATGGTTGTGATGGTGGTTGATAGTAGTTGTGGCGTCTCTGTTCCGGTGACGCCAGTGTTCCTTTCAGTCGTTGTTTTGTGTGCGTTCTATAATATGGCTGAGATCGAACGAGACAGACAGCGAAAGAGAAAAAAAGGAAACAGCGAGAAGGTGAGAGAGAGAGACGGAGACAGAGAGAGAGAGAGAGAGACAAAAACAGATGGGCATGGGTAGGATGCCCATTTATCGAGTTCCAGACAGTATTTCATACAGTCCAACACAAACTCCTATTTAAGCTAGAGAAGCAGGGTGGCGTATCTGTTTTAGAGGGAGAGAGGCAGTACCTCAGAGGAAGGCCTCAAAAAGTATCATTGGAGATATTAGAGGAAATTAAACGGATCACAACAAATGCTGATACTATCACATTCATATTTGTTGACGACGGAAAAGCAATGAGAAAAATCAAAACGGGATCCTTAAACACGCTCCAGAGGTGATCTGAAACATGGCACCTAGACTTAAACCAAACCAAATGCAAAGGTTTGAGGATAAAAACAGTAGAGAATATACATGTAATGTAGAACCCTTTGCATCACGAAAATAGGAACACTTGAATATAGATAGGAAAATGGGAAATATAAATACAAAAATAAATAGGAACAATGGAAAATGGGAACAATATGCAAAATCACACACCGTCAGCAGCTGGGATCAAAGTTGGTCAATGTTCGAGATAAATGTTATTCGATTACAATTTCCGCAATTCCTTTACTCGGGTCAATGACATTATAAAATTGTGGGTAAATACACGACAAATAACAACATCATAAATTTATTTATGGTATAATTGTTAGAAAAATACAAAATACTTTATCATTTAAGCCGGAGCGGCACCATGGGCCCTCTCATGTAACTGTCTTGGGGGCTCGAGGGACCGTCTTGACAGACTTGAGGGGCTCTTGGGACGATCTTGACAGACGTGAGAGGCTCGTAGGACGATCTTGACAGACTGAGGGGCTCGTGGGTCGATCTTGACAGACTTGAGGGGGCTCGTGAGACGATCTTCACTGACTTGAGGGGCTCGTGAGACGATCTTGACAGACTTGAGGGGGCTTGAGGGGACGATCTTTACTGACTTGAGGGGGCTTGAGGGGACGATCTTGACAGACGTGAGGGGCTTGAGGGGACGATCTTCACTGACTTGAGGGGCTCGTGAGACGATCTTGACAGACTTGAGGGGCTCGCATGTCTGTAGCAGATTGACAGACAATATTTTCGTATCAATAATTTGTGTATTTAAGAGGTAACACATTTATATTAAACGCTCAATGTATGTTTAATGAAATAACATTTAAAATGTTTGTGTTTTTGAAATGACAAAAAATTGCATTGATCAAGGTGTGACATCAAATAGAAAAGAATTGTTTTCTTTGGAGCGAGATTGAGAGTAGAAGAGAGAGATATAGATAGACAATAGTTATATAAAGAGTTAGCGAGACAGAAGGAAAGAGACAGATCGAGAGAAGGACAGACAAAAAAAATATATAATTTTTTTTAGACGACACTTTTTGCAAATGACAAATATAAACACCTGTTCATTAGATGCAAAAAATCAACGCAAGTCAAATCCCAACAATTGACCGTCGCCTTTTCGTTAAAAGTCCCGTTATTAAAATATCCTCGAAATATATTCAATTTTGAAGCACTTCCTCGTCGAGAGTTTGATCGGAGTCACTACGTGGTGAAGGCACCCGGAGGGTCGGGCATTGGCATGGGTATGGCTGTGGTGAGCGAGTCTGGAAGAAGCGTGGCCGATACCCCATCGGTGATAGGCGAGGGCAATGGGTCTGGGAAGGTCGTGGGAGGGTTTGGGTCACCCTCGGGGCCTCTCGGAGCGTGGATATCGCAGAGGATCGTCGTGATTGCGGCAGGAGGGGGTGGTGGTGGCGGCGTCGGCGTCGGCGTGCTGCCTTTGTGGCTTGTCGAGTGGCTGGGATGCGAACCGGTGGGGTCCCACGACTCCAACATGTGCGCCACCTCTCTGAACCCTCCCAGGAACTTGGCACTGCCGCTGCAGCTCTCCAAACCTGGAAAAATAGGAACGCATTGGCGCCACGTACAACGGGAATGTGTTATATTCCCATATTATATTATATATATTATATATATAATAATGCTTTGTTTAGGCAGATAAATAATATTTAACAATGATGAAAATTAATTTTCGGCATGACTAAAAAAAAAAAAATCACCGATTGTCAATGTCATTCATGAGAAATTGCTTTAAAATAAGAATATTTTGGAAGAAGTGGTCACGGAGTCTATGCTTTACCCAGCAGGTACACCCAAGTGAATGTAGACCACAGACCCCCCCACTCTCTCCAACAGACCCACTCAGACCCTCACCATCCATCACAGAAAGGAGCTAAACCTCACAACTCTAGAGCAGAGGGGACATTATCGCAACATACACGATACTGAAAGGAATTGACAATGCAGACAGACAGACAGCCTCATTAAAGCGAGAGAAAGTAGGAAGAGAGGACACAGGTGGAAGCTGGAAACACAAATGAGTCGATATGTAAGGAAATACTCGTAATCTGTACGCTTAGTCAACAATGCATTGAAAGAACAGGTTGGGGAAGCCACCTCCATCCACAACTTTGAAGCCAAATTCGACAAAGAATTCGAACCTCAGAATAGTTCAGTTATAGCTCAACAGGTACAACAAGGGGTTCCAGGCGGGGCATGAAGAACTAGACGTTACTTCCCGTAGTCACAGATAACTACTAATAGGTAAGTACACGCCCACCACTCCTTACAGGAACCACCCCCACAACCCCACACAGATCCCCCCACTCCCCCTACAGACCCCCCTACAACCCCCCCACAGAACCCCCCCCCTACAACCCCATACCCTCCAATAACTTACAAGAAGAGAGGGACCCAGGCGAAGAACCTTCCCCTTCATAAGCGTAGTTCCTCAAGTCATCCCCAGCCGGAGGATTAGAGGCACTCCCTCCTTTACTGCCTGCACCTTTCTTCCCTCCGTTCCTCGTCTCCGCTCCGCGTCTGTTTTCCGCTCCGGCTGCTGTGCCGCCTCCACGTCTCTGTTCCTCCAGGCTGCTGGTGACCGAGGCAGCATCCACTTGCAACACGTCCACGTCTGAGGGAGGGAGGGACCAGGGTAGATCGAGTTCTTGCTGTGGAGGGAAGGTGGATAGGATCTGTGGGGGGGGGGGGGTTAGTGATAGGGATGGGGGGGGGGGGTTAGTGATAGGGATGGGGGGGTTTGTGATAAGGATAGGGGGGGGGTCAGGAGGGATGATAGGAGGGCACTTAGGGACATGAAATAATAGGTATAAACCCCCTCTGGTTTCATGCAAATTAATGGCTTTCCAGGATGGAAAGAGAAACTGGAAAAAATAAGAGGGGGGGGGGGGGAACCTGGAGTGAGTGTGTATATGTGTGTGTGTGTGTGTGTGTTAAGGACGGTGTGCTTGTTTGTACCCCACATGTGTGGGTGTGAGGAAAGGTGACGCAGAACCAATCCCAAGCGCGCGCACACACATATATACAACTTTCCTGCGGCATCACCTGCTATATTGAGGTTCTTGGTCCAAGCCGGCTGCCCGTTGGCCTTCGGGGGCTTGAGCAGCTTCAGTTCCAGGAGGTTGGGTGCGTGGTTGCAGGGAGCCGACGCCTGCTCCTTGCCGTTCATGGCTGTATCCTTACCGTCAGCCATGCCTCGACGCAGGGCAGACCGCCGATGGTGTTGGTGAAGCAGGAAGGCGCAGATTAATACTGGAAAGATACAGGTATTCCTTTAGAGAATCAGAAAATGTTAGGCTTTGAGTCACAATAACGTGGCTAAAGTATGTTGACCAGACCACACACTAGAAGGTGAAGGGACAACGACGTTTCGGTCCGAATCGACTTGAGAATGGTCCAGGATGGACCGAAACGTCGTCGTCCCTTCACCTTCTAGTATGTGGTCTGGTCAACAGAAAATGTTAGTACTGAAAAATGTTCTTGCAAGGTATCCACGTATCAGCATTCAAAAAAGACATATGTTCTTGAAGAGAATCCCTGTATCTGTATTGAAAAGATAGGTGTTTTAACAGAAATCTTTTTAAAACAATGTGATAGTTTTAAATGATAAGTTATTCAAGCAGACCACAAGCTCAGACAAACAAAATGCATTTTTGGAACTCCCGCCAATAGAAACACGAGTGTAGGTTATGAACCCAAGATCAGAAAACTTGTTCTGTTTGGAGCTCACACTCGAGGGGATGGTGAACAGTTAAAGAACCTCACTAACAGAGGGAGGAAAGTGATATTTAGAAACCACACTAATTAGGCGCTATAAACCCGAAGACACTTAATCAATTTTATCCAAATTGCATTTAAAACTGTATATTAGTGAAGTATAGTACATGTAGACACGCTGAGGTAAATAACAACAATATTAAGAAATTGCTTGTTCTACTATTATTACTTCTGCTTACACTACTACTGTCCCCATCCTCACTACTGCCACATCCCCACTACTGCCCCATCCCCACTACTGCCATATCCTCCACTACTGCCACATCCCCCACTACTGCCCCATCCCCACTACTGCCCCATCCTCCGCTACTGCCCCATCCTCCGCTACTGCCCCATCCCCACTTCTAAAGCAACACTACCACCACCACCACTACTCACGGAAGAGGAAGGTACACCAGACAAGGATTGCGACGAGAGCTCCGAGGGAGAGCTTGAGGGAAGTATCGCCCACGTCAGGTAGTTGGCAATGGTGACCGTTGAAGCCATTAGGACACGCACACAAGTATCCTGGCGAGGGATGATATGCACTATGTATCAGGATACTGATGTATGGAAGTAACTCGTGCAAAGAAAGGTTTACATACATTACATCACTGTTATAAACATGAATGTACAAATACACACGGTAGAAATGAACAATATGCAAGTGGTGTTTACAAATGCGGATGGTATAACGAATTAATTATGTGAACTATTTGAGAGGTTATGCGAGGTGCATCCAAACATTGCAGGAGTTACAGAACAAAACTTGTAAAAATCCTAACGGAAGCAACTTTTCCAAAGAGGTTGCCAAGTGATCAGAAAAAAAGAACGAGCAGGGAAGTAATTATGCCATAGAAAAATTACTGAAAGTGTGAAAATTCACGACAGAGGCGATTAGCTCCCAGAACTAAATTATAGGCATGCTGTCCGCAGTGTACTGAATAGTAGCCGTAATATTCAGTCCTCTAAAGTGCTAGATTATAGGACACCGAGAGAGGAGCTTGACGAGACCAGTGGATATATTCTAAATGTCGAAGACGATAGCAATGGTGCCGTATGTAGCAGGTCTAAACTTCCAGTTCTCAGTGACTTAATCACAGGAAAACTGACTGGACAATGAAAAGTTTCCGAAGTGGAAACAAGACATGCAGAAGGCAAATTTGTTGATACTATGGAGAGGCATTTCCTGTTGCAGCACATTATATAGACAACTAGGAGGAAAAAGGGAGATATGGAACAACAACACTAGACCTGATGTTTACCAAGAACGAACTGGATAGTGAAAGCAGGAGGAGAATCGTTCATAAGGAGTTGCTTGGAGCCAGTGATCACTGCATAGCTGAGCCGAGATGAAGCAAGTGGGCAGGTGGAAGGACAGAGTAAGACAGGTCTACATGCGGGTGAAAGAATTCCTTCAGGTTATTTCATTGGGAAGAGGGTCTTGAAGGGGCAGATTATAAATGGAATGGAGGGAAAATAAACTCATTCTTCCACAATGCAAGGAAGACCAAAGATCTCCTTTCCAAACGAGAGGGCTTGTAAAGGACACAGTTCTGAGATAAATTATGAGACGTCAATGATAACCAGAACAATAATACACATGGGTCAATAGGGTAACGATGTCATTTTGAAAGGACATTACAACCAAAGATCAACCACAGCTACAACTCAGTCATATTGGCAAATGATCAGCAATCAGTGACAAAGTTATTGCACCAAAATAAGCAACTCAGGGAAACGTCCTCTTTGAAAACAATAAAGGAAGAATATAGAATTCAACAGAGGATTCCAGGGGGTGTTCCAGGATCAAGTCTGAATGAATCGTTCATAAGACTATGGAAAAGTTGAAACCCTACAACAGGAGATTCCAGGATCGAGCCAGAGTGGACGTTTGGTACAAAAAACAAATGAAAGGTTTAAATTACTATGAGACATATGGCAATAAAGCACCACGAAAATTTAGCATAATCTAAGTATCTAAGTATCTAATAATATAATCTAAGTATAATAATCTAAGTATCTGTTCCAGATCACAGTTCACTGTGGATATTGAACGATGCAGTAGCGATATTATTTAAGCAGCCATCAAGTTACTGCAATGTGTCGTTTGCAACCTGAAAATTTCTCGTAATCTGGAAAACATGAATGAGAAAATAACAGAGACAGAGAGACAGACAGACAGAGGGGGAGGGGTGATGCCAACTGGTGTAGTCTCCTCGCATAGCAGAGTCTAAGAGAGGCGCACTTAAGCCAACGACAGTTACCGTCACTGAGAACTACCACTTGCAGACACACACTTAACCGTGCGGATAATCGTTTCTTTTAGCCATTGCGAATCATTTCTCGTGACAAGTGTAGGTCATATATCCTTGTGAACGAAGAGTCACGGCCCCTACGGGGGGGCCATGAACATTTTCGTGAGCAAGGTGGCCGATTCCCCTGCCCACGGTGGGTCGCATCTCTATATAGAGAGTCACTTTTGGCCACAGTCACTCCGAGGGGATACTGGGGAGTCCCGTCTCGATGGCACAGGTTGTCACGTCTCATTGGTATGAGGAATCACTTCTCACTCACAAGAAAGAAGTGAGACTCAAGAAAAAAAGATCGATGGATCTTCGAGATATCATAAATTATTCTTTCTCGCCACTCTGAGAGAACAAAATGTTTCAGGTGTGACACCTGTCACCAGTGATCTGGTCGGGATGACCAGACTATTAATGTGGCCACAACAACATGGCTTATAGCAGGCTGGGTTTGCACTGGAGGAATCGCATTGCAAATTCCCCAGTTGACTTCTACACCTAGTTATTATCCACTTGTTTGGCAAGTATGCCACATTACATGCTATTTGGCTACACTTAAATCACACGTTTTCAGTGTCCTATTCACCAATTAACATTTTTGATAGCGCTAAATGACTTTTTCCAACGATTTGGGACACGGTATCGCCGTTTGTGTACACGAAGACGCCTTAATGACACACCCAAGGAGAACCAACATCTCCACAGCTGGAAATGTCTTTTTATTTAATTTTTTGATAAACAGTTGTGTCCCATCCTGTCTCTGCAGCGAGCATTCCCTGATATGAACGTCTAGGGCTTTGGAGCTGGACCCCTCGAAGGTCGACCAGTGCGTCCCGACGCCCTCGAAGGTCGACCAGAGCGTCCCGACGCCCTCGAAGGTCGACCAGTGCGTCCCGACGCCCTCGAAGGTCGACCAGTGCGTCCCGACGCCCTCGAAGGTCGACCAGAGCGTCCCGACGCCCTCGAAGGTCGACCAGTGCGTCCCGACGCCCTCGAAGGTCGACCAGTGCGTCCCGACGCCCTCGAAGGTCGACCAGTGCGTCCCGACGCCCTCGAAGGTCGACCAGTGCGTCCCGACGCCCTCGAAGGTCGACCAGTGCGTCCCGACGCCCTCGAAGGTCGACCAGTGCGTCCCGACGCCCTCGAAGGTCGACCAGTGCGTCCCGATCCCCTCGAAGGTCGACCAGTGGGTCTCGACGCCCTCGAAGGTCGACCAGTGGGTCCCGACGCCCTCGAAGGTCGACCAGTGGGTCCCGACGCCCTCGAAGGTCGACCATTGCGTCCCGATCCCCTCGAAGGTCGATCAGTGCGTTCCGACGCCCTCGAAGGTCGACCAGTGCGTCCCGACGCCCTCGAAGGTCGACCAGTGCGTCCCGACGCCCTCGAAGGTCGACCAGTGCGTCCCGACGCCCTCGAAGGTCGACCAGTGCGTCCCGACGCCCTCGAAGGTCGACCAGTGCGTCCCGACGCCCTCGAAGGTCGACCAGTGCGTCCCGACGCCCTCGAAGGTCGACCAGTGCGTCCCGACGCCCTCGAAGGTCGACCAGTGCGTCCCGACGCCCTCGAAGGTCGACCAGTGCGTCCCGATCCCCTCGAAGGTCGACCAGTGGGTCTCGACGCCCTCGAAGGTCGACCAGTGGATCCCGACGCCCTCGAAGGTCGACCAGTGCGTCCCGATCCCCTCGAAGGTCGACCAGTGCGTCCCGATCCCCTGGAAGGTCGACCAGTGGGTCTCGACGCCCTCGAAGGTCGACCAGTGGATCCCGACGCCCTCGAAGGTCGACCAGTGGGTCCCGACGCCCTCGAAGGTCGACCAGTGGGTCCCGACGCCCTCGAAGGTCGACCAGTGGGTCCCGACGCCCTCGAAGGTCGACCAGTGGGTCCCGACGCCCTCGAAGGTCGACCAGTGGGTCCCGACGCCCTCGAAGGTCGACCAGTGGCTCCTGACTCCTGGACAGTGTACACAGGAGTAAAATATTTTCCTCAAATATACCTCGTTGAAACTATATTACTCAGTAGGCTTTCAATGATATTCAAAAACAAATTAAGATGTTTAAATAAACACACACATTCCGTAAACACATTAAAAATAATTGTATTAGTTTCAGCAAAAACTGGAGAAGGAGGAAGAGCAGCAGCTGCTGCTAGAAGCAACAGCAGTGGCAGCAGCAGCAGCAGCAGCCTGCATCACTGGGCTGCTGGAGTTAAAGCCACAACTCTTTACCACAGCAATCATGTCTTAAAAGCCATCCCTGGCCATTCATCACATAGAAACTACTGGCTTTCATCTCTCCATCTGATAGCTGGTCTCCGCTCGATCTATTGGGATTCAGTGAGGGATCTTCATTGACCACAACTGGCCTTTTCTTTCTCTCGCTCCAAGTCCTGCTCGGAATTTTGTTTAGTTTCCCCATTTTTGTTGAAGATATTTTCGGCTTTTGTGAACCTTGAGCAGAAAACAAGACGCTTTAGTAACGGGTTCTGCAGTGTGCTTCAACTTTAATTAATAACATGCAAGTTGGGTTACTCGATCCAAGTAACGTTGTTTGTTATTGTGACAAAAGGTTGTGAATCTACAAGTTTTATGGTGTAACGCGAATTCTGTGAGCTTTTTTAGTGGTACTGATCAATGGCAAGCTAAAACATGCATTAATTCAACATTTTTACTGAATTTCATTAAAATCTGTATTATCTAGCTGAAGCCAACTATTTCGCTATAATCTTTTTTTTTTATTCAATCAGAATAATCACATAATAATATATGATTATAATCGGAATTCCCCAATTACAGAGCAGTCACCTTGCTATTGTTTCCTAGTAATTAAATTCCCTATCTTCCCCTCACCGAGGTAATGCAGGTTGGCAATTCAGAACCGAATAGCGAAAGCAACAGCTGTGCGATAAAGGAATATTCCAACTCTGCTTAAACCAACGTTATCATCCGAGACCAATCTCGGGGATTCTCACAGCTCTTCGTTCTGATACAGCAGCTTCAGTGACCAGAGTGGGATCTAAACCAGAGGCTTGCAGGGCTCGGCGATCACTCCACCACCCATGGTCTAAGGGGCTGTATATCCTGTTCCATCACTGGGTCTTCATATCCTAGTTCCTTGTCCTAATATCACTTTCAAGTGCATTATATTCATACTGGCTAAGTGCTTTTCCCCCGATAATTCCCTTTCATTTAATCATGACAACGACTACAAATTGTTATAATTCTCGCTCCACTGAACAGGTGTACACCAGTGAGACCTACAACACGTGTACAGTTGTCTAACCAACCCAGCACTTACAACAGTGAAACAAAGCCTTAATTGAAACAGGAGAGAAATTAAAATAGACGCAATATAATTATCAGGAGAAAGCACTGTCAGAATAATTACCCATCACGTGGAAGGGATACGAGAATAAGGAGTTGCAATGTGAGGACGGTATATTTCCCACTTATACCACTGTACCCACCCACTTATACCACTGTACCCACCCACTTATACCACTGGGGATCGAACGCTGGCCCTGCAAGTAACACAATATCGGCCTCTTCGAGCTGATGGGCACTCTAAAAGTGCAAGGACTCACCTGAGGGCTTGTTAAAGCAGGTGCCCCCGTTTAGACACGGTTCCCACACACACTCGTCCTCATCTTCACAGGTGGCCCGACTGGCAGATAGCACGCGACCCTCTCCACACCTGTAAACAAAGTTCTCAGTTCATTTCTCAGTTCATCTCCCTTTTGGTTCACAGTCTCGTCTTGCCTGCCTGCGTTTTCTCTCACTGAGCTTAGTTTGCTCAGCTCTGCTTAAATCTCTTAATCTCAGTTCTGATTAATTCTCTCAGTATGGTAAAATAATAATCTCAAATGCATTTACAAGTTTACGGTCCATATTTTCCCCAAATGATTCTAAGTATGTGGAACTTGTTGGTCGAATGCCACTCTTATACGGAAACACCTATAGTTTTATATTGTGTTATATATGAAAGCATCAGTGTTATATTGTATTGGAAAGTATCTATACTGCAAAGTATCTATACAGCAATGTATCTATACGGCAAATTATCTATACTGGCAAGTATCTACTATCTCAAATCCTGTGAAATGATAATACTTTCACCAGGAAAGTTGTAAAATTAAAAAAGATTTTTGATTTCTAACATTCTACCACACCAGATTGTGTGTAAATTACTTTGAAAATTGAATTTACATATTAATTAAATTTGAGGTAATATTATCAGTGCCCCTGAAATTTATCATCATTGTCGTATTTAGTTAAGGGTTTTTATTCCAAATGCATTTATTTACTCTGAAGCAGTGACTTACTTATTACTGAAAAAAGAGATATTTCCATTGATCATTTAGTCCAGTCAATACAGGTATGTATAGTTTGGTAATCTGACCGCAGATGGCGTTGACCGCATGACTGTTTTGCCTTTGAGATTTGAGATTTGTAATCGTGAGGAAAGTAACCCAAATGTTTCTTTTTTAGAGGGCAGAGAGACGCCTTTATTGTCCTCCAACACACACACGCATGATTTGACGTCCACCCAATGTATCCAATCATTCCACACAGCAGAATTAACAATCCCCAATCACACTGGCTCAGCGCTTGCTCTTGATAATTACCTGACCTTTATTAATTACCGAGGCTCAAAGGATGGCTCCCTCCCCCTCCCCCCCACACGGATCCCATACGGGCCTGGCTTAAGAGATCAACAAGCTGTTGTAGCTCTCATCTACTCAGTGGAACTTCGGCTTTGCACTGAATTGGAATTATGAGGGAAAGTCGTCAGGCCTTCAGTACGCTGGGTGGGAACGAACGTTGAGAGACATTTGTTGGATGAATTCGATTACAGTCACGTGATGAGGGGCAGGGAAGTAGAGAGATGTGGTAGTGGTGATGAAGGTTGTGGTTTGTGGGGGTGGTAGTTGTGATGATACTGGTAGTGGTGGTGGTGACAGTGATGGTGGTGGTGGAAGCAGTGACGATAGGAGTTCCTGCTTTGCAATTTTGTCCTCGTCAGTAACTCTTACAGTTATTGACGAGACCAAAAAAGAGTTATTTATACCTAAACAAAAACAAAAGCCATTGAAACTACATTGTATTCTGTGTAATGTAACCTATGTACTGCATAATGCAAGCAAAATGTGATCTCTTGCTTGTGTACTGTATCCAGTTTAGTGTAGAATTTGTAGTGTAACGTGTGTATTCTACCTGGGGTGTGTACTCACCAAGTTGCGCTTGCTGGGGTTGAGCTTCGTCTCTTTGGTCCCGCCTTTCAACTGTCAATCAACTGGTGTACAGGTTCCTACGCCAATTGGGTTCTATTATATCTACACTTGAAACCGTGTATGGAGTCAGCCTCCACCACATCACTTCCTAATGCATTCCGTCTGTTAACTACTCTGATACTAAAAAAAAGTTCTTTCTAATGTCTTTATGGTTAATTTGTGTACTCAATTTCCACCTGTGTCCCCTAATGCATGTACCCCGTGTTAAACTGTCTGTCTACCCTATCAAATTCCTTGAAAATCTTTTATGTGGTGATCATGTCTCCCGAATCCCCTAAACTCTGTCTTCTTGCGACGTGAGGTTTAATTCACGTTGTCTATCCTTCTAGCTCATGCCCCTCAGTTCGGGGCACTAGTCTGGTGGCACACTTCTGAATCTTCTCCAATTTAGTCTTATGTTTAACGATATATGGACTCCATGCTGGAGGGGTATACTCTAGAATTGGTCTGACATACGAGGTATACAAATCTTTGAATGATTCATTACACAAGTTTCTAAAGGCCGTCCTTATGTTGGCCAACCGGGCATATGCAGATGATATCCTCTTGATATGGGCTTCGTGGGAGGCAGATCTTGTGTGATATCAACGTCCAAGTCTTTATTTTTATCCGATTCTAAAATAACTTCATCTCCCAAATGGTACCTTGCATCTGGCCTTCTGCTCCTGTTCCCTCCTGCTACTCCTGCCTGCTCCATTACCTTACATTTGCTCGGGTTAAACTAACAACCATTTGTTGGACTCTTTCTTTCAGTTTGTTCAGGTCTTCTTGAAGCCTTATGCTCTCCTCTTCGGTTTTAATCCTCCTCATAATTTTGGCATCATCAGCAAACACTAAGAGGACTGAGTCCATGTTCTCAGTCTATAACTGATGTTCAGTATGTCTAAATATAACAGTACATCAGTCATATGACTGTTCAGTCTACGACTGATGTTCGATGTTCCGAGTCTAGAAGATCATTTACGTATATCAGAAACAGGATAGGTCCAAGTACAAGGACCTGTGGGACTCGGCTGGTGACTTCACGCCAATCTGAGGTCTCACCCCTCACTGTAACTCTCTGCTTCCTGTTGTTTAGGTACTCCCTTATCCACTGGAGCACCTTACCATTTACACTTGCCCGTTTCTTCCACTTATGCCACCAACTTTAATGGGGTACTGAGTCAAAGGCTTTCCGACAGTCAAGGTGTGTGTGTGTGTGTGTGTGTGTGTGTGTGTGTGTGTGTGTGTGTGTACTCACCTAGTTGTGGTTGCGGGGGTTGAGCTTTGTCTCTTTGGTCCAGCCTCTCAACCGTCAATCAACTGGTGTACAGATTAATGAGCCTACTGGGCTCTATCATACCTACATTTGAAACTGTGTATGGAGTCAGCCTCCACCACATCACTTCCTAGTGCGTTCCATTTATTAACTACTCTGACACTGAAAAAATTCTTTCTAACGTCTCTGTGGCTCATCTGGGTACTAAGTTTTCACCTGTGTCTTCGTGTTCGTGTCCCACCCGTGCTGAAGAGTTTGTCTTTGTCCACCCTGTCAATTCCCCCGAGAATTTTGTAGGTGGTTATGATGTCTCCCCTTACTCTTCTGTTTTCCAGGAACGTGAAGTTCAACTCCTTTAGCCTTTCCTCGTAGCTCATTCCTCTCAGTTCCGGGACAAGTCTGGTAGCATATCGCTGAATCTTCTCTAACTTTGTCTTGTGTTTAACTAGGTATGGACTCCAGGTTGGAGCTGCATATTCCAGGATTGGTCTGACATAAGTGGTATACAGGGTCATGAACAATTCCTTACACAAGTTTCTAAAGGCAGTTCTTATGTTGGCCATCCTATTATATGCCGCTGATGATATTCTTTTGATGTGGACCTTTGGGGACAGGTTCGGTGTGATATCAACCCCAAGATCTTTCTCCCTATTTGACTAGTGCAGGATTTAACCTCCCAGATGGTACCTTGTGTTCAGCCTCCTGCTCCCTTCGCCTAATTTCATTACTTTACACTTTCCTGAGTTGAGCTTTAGCAGCCATTTTCTAGATCATTCCTCCAGTTTGTCCAGGTCATCCTGTAGTGTGTGGTGCGTGTATAGTGTATACACGTGCGCGCGCGTGTGCGCTTGCTTTTCTTGATGGTTCGCCGTTGTCTAGGCTAGGAGTCCTTTCAGACACATGTAGATTCCTTCAGGTATGGATGACCCAAGATGCGATTGACAGTCTATACCTCTACAGTCCACCAGGGAGCTCCCTGGTGCCCCCATTTACTTCAAGGTCAACACACACACACATAGGGTGTAGGGGAGGCCCCCCCCCCCCCCACACGCGTCCTGCCCTGGAATCGTCCCAGGACCAATTGAGCAGCGAGGCTAACTGCGCAATCTTCAGCCTTAACTACAAGTCGCTCTCAGGGTGGACCCAGACACCATACCCTGGAAACACAAACTGAAACTGACTATTTTCCGCTTGTTACAACTTGTAATAAAGTTGTTACATCTTGGTTTAACGTGTTTATGACGTATTAGAACGTTGTTACAACTTGATATATTGGCTGTTATAACTGGTTAGGAGGAGTTAAGACTTGTTCGAACGTTGTACCAACGTCGTAGTTATGGTGTCTGTTTGGGGGGTAGTATTAGGCCAGTCAGTTTTCACGATTTACAAAGCGTTATATATGAAGTGGTTTCACTTAACCAGAAGCTTAAGGTGCCAATTCTATTTATGAATCCGTAAACAAAAAATCAATCATTTTTCCCTAACCAGACCCGTACGAACCCAAGCAACCTTTCTAACCTATTGAGGCCGATGTCATTAATAATTAAATCACCATAATATTACCGTTTTTACTAATATGCTGCATTTTTCAGTGAATGTGTCGACTTCGTTAAAAATGCAACGGACTAGGCAAGACAATGCATCATGAGTGAAGCAACAGCAAGAATGCTCACAGTGAACAGGACTCACCCGCAGTGGTAGGACCTCCAGGTGTCGACGCAGGTGAGGGGGGCCCTGCAGGTGACGTTGGTGCAGGCCGGGGGGGCGCGGCACCCCCCCTCCACGCCCTTAAACATGCTGGCTTGGCCCCACGCCGTGCCGTTGATAGCCGGCGGCAGCGGGACGCTCTTCCCAGAGATCCTCACATCGTCGATGCACCCTGGCGGTGGTCGGGAGACAGAGGGTGAGCAACCCGTCCTCGACTCAGGTCCATTCCATCCAGCGGTCGACCCCACAGACGCATTCATAAATTTTTACTTGCTATTCATTCAAAAGGGGAATCTAACCAATTATAAATGAATATTATATTATATTAGCATATTGGACATATAGGCATATGTTAGGTTAGGTGTATAGGTCCTGTTGGCGATTATGTGTTTGTAGCACGTGGGTGAAGCATTTACAGCGTTGTGGTTCGAACAAAATTCGTCAGTGAAGCACTTGATCCGGAAGTGTTCGAACGAAATCAGTTGTGCATCGTGCAGCCCGTCCTCCAAACAAAGATCCAAAAGTGATTCCATGCACCCGCCAAACCCCCTGTTTATGAATGAAAAACGGTTTACACACGACTCACTACTGCTGACGTTCGAACATATCCGGAACAAGTGCTTCACTGACGAATTTTGTTCGAACCACAATGCTGTAAATGCTTCACCCACGTACTACAAATACAAATAATCGCCAACAGAACCTAAACACCTAACCTAACCTATCCTATGCCTATATATGCACAATATGCTAGTATATTATAATATTAATTTATACTTGAGAAAATTCCCGTTTTGAATGAACAGCATGTGAAAATTTATGAATGCGTCTGTGGGGTTGACCGCTGGATGTAATGGACTTGAGTCGAGGACGGGTTGGCATCGTGTGTAAATCGTTTTTCATTCATTAACAGGGGGTTAGGCGGGTGAATGAAATTACTTTTGGGTCTGTTTGGAGGACGGGTTGACACACGACTGATGACGTTCGAACACTTCCGGAACAAGTGCTTCACTGACGAATTTTGTTCGAACCGCTTCGCTGTAAATGTACAGCGTATGAACATTTACGTATGTAAATGTACTGCACCACGTACTACAAATACAAATAATCGCCAACAGAACCTAAACACCTAACCAATGCCTAAATATGCACAGTATGCAAATATATAACAATATTAATTTATATTTGAAAAAATATCCTATTATGAATGTGCATCACTGAAGGTAATACATAATTACCGTTAACAGGGACAGGAAGCCTGTACTTACCAAGACCCTCCTCCCCCCCTCCTCCCCTTTAGGTTAACTACTAAACTACTCCAGGGGAAAATTGTCACGACCTTCTTATTGTGTCAAGGTATTTCTCCACTACTCAGCTCAACACGTCTAATAAAGTATTAAATAATGCACGGCCTGGCCTTTAGTACTCAATCACAATTTTTTTGTTCGAGGAGCTGTTCACTCGAGACAGTTAAGCAAATCCTAGATGTGTTTTGGTATAAGTGACAGGATGAACAACCCAGCGGGTTTTCTTCCTATTGGGGAGTGTTGTACATGCTGCTATGACGGTATGACTACTCACAGGATGAGTGGCGCTGCTCAATAAATTCGCCCCTCGGCGTAAAATTAAAAAAAAATTAAATTCTCAAGTTGGCCGTGTCGCTAGGCTACTGCTCTGGTCTTAATATTCTTTTACTGTACTGCACTAAGGAATGAGGCCTCTAGCTGGGCCAAGGGAAATTAAAGGAGTAGGGAAACGGCTGTGTAGAGTGATAACATAACGGTTATATTTATAAGACAAACACGATATATTGCAATGCATAATTCACTCCTTATAACTCAAGGTCATTCCGAATGTTAAAACACTATCTTATCATCCACCCACCCAGGGCTCCGGTCACTCCAATTCTGGTCTAACACTGAAACTGTTAGAATATGAATATGCAAAGTGTTGCATATTGCAGAGTTTTCAGTTGCATATTGGCTTGGGGACCATTCAAGCTTGTTCGCATTTGTGTTGCTCACGTGTCCCCACAAAGTGAGGTGATTCGATGAAATATCTATGCCCAAGCTTACCACCAAGTGCTGTCGGGTCGTTGGGGGGATATAGCTCGGCTACCAATGACTTTTGTACAGTCACGGTGGTCGAGTGGTTGAAGAACCAGGTATGCCATGGTGCATAGTGCTCCTGGCTGTCTGGGTTCGAATCCTAGGGTGTGGAGTTTTCAATTACAATAAAATTGAAATATTATATGCAATTTTTTATAATATATATTATATATAATTATATACGCACTTAAATATAAAATACCTGTTTTATCTTAGTCGAAATCGTTCCAGGACAAATGAAAATCGCTGAACTTGACAAAGGAATATAATATAGAATCGACAGTCAGAGGTTGACTCATTTGAGAGAGGTGTTATCAGGAAGATTTTCACGATTAACGTCAGGTCCCAAACGAGAGGAAAATATATTAGAAAATAATTACCTGAAATACCCCAGGAGTGATACGAGGACTCCTCGTGCTGTGTAGCTGTGCCAACGACAGAACTGCACAAGAAGTGAACTGTTCAGAGAGTTACAACTGTTCCATGGGATCCCTAACTGTTCAACGGGTGACCTAACAGCAAGGGTGAACTTGGTGAATGTTATACTCACCCTCGTAGTAGTCCCCGTCGATCTTGAAGACGCTCACCCCCACGTACTCGGGTGAGCCTCCGACGTGGACACCCTCCTGCTTGTCCACCTGCAGCAACTGGCGCCCCTCCATGGACAAGGAAGCGTTATACAGGTCGCCCTCTCCGTCGTCCGCCGTCAGGAAGGTCGTGGAGCCGTGTCTGGAACACAACCAACACATGCACAATACCACCGCAAACGCAGACCACTCAGCCACCTTGGTTACCACAACGTCAAAAACTCGCGACCTAATGGTCGAGAGGACGGGATGTATAATGATCAAATGTTCGGCTAATTCCCTTGTTTATGATTGAAAAAATCACATTACGTAACAGAGACTCAACCAATAACAATCGAACTTCGCTCTTTTCCTTTGTACGAATCGCACCTCTAAATACTTCACGAAATTAAAATACAAATTGCCAACAAAACCCATAACAACCAACCTAACCTAGGCCTAGCTATACACAAAACGATAATATATACCCACTAACAAAGTATATTTGAGAAAACAAAAGCGATACGCAATACGTTCAAATTAACGAACGAATCTTCTTTTTTTTGGGGGGGGGGGGAAGGGAAGGGGAGAAGGGGAAAAGGGGGGGGGGGGGAATGTGGGGAGGATGGAAGGGGGAAGGGTTGGAAGAGAGGGTTGGCCACCACTTGTACTAGTATAGCCTGAGAGTTGGAGCTTGGCTGCAGCTTGTGCGAACATAGCCTGAGGATGGGTTCCATCAGACTAAGAGAATTCGGCAAGCGTGCCTAATTGTCCTACTGTGCCTGTAATAAATATTTATAATGCTATTTCGAAGCAAAATTATAGAGGTCTGAATGTGTAAACAAGTGACAATAGCAAGTTAAGGGGGGTGCTTAAAGGTCGTTAATATTGAGGGTCGTAAGAACCAGGAATGACCTTACCTAATCCACACTCCCGTGAAAATAAACATTTCAATCACCTGGACTCGGGGAAAGTTTTAGTTGCACGGGAATGTGGATGATAACTTATATGTCGCGGGTGTGGATCACTAATTCCTCTTAAGCTTCAGTAGTAGTCAGGGGAAGTTGAAAACTCCAGCTTGGCAGCAGAAGTTGCTTCTGGAATATTTCCTTATTACGCCTACTCAATAGCCCAGTCGATAGAGCTTCTGCCTCTCACTCGCGAGGGCCGCGGTTCGAGTCAATTAGAGTCCAGGTGAATGAAATATGACTGGATTGATTACAAATTCAAGGAAAACTGCGCAGATATAGTGAGCGGCTTGTTTCATTTCGCATTGGGGTAAATGTCTGATTGATTGATGAAGATTAACCCACCAAGGAGGTAGCACGGGCATGAATAGCCCATAATGTTAGATGTCTGAACTTCCGAAGGGTGATTACCACCACATCACCACAAGGGTGATCACCACACTAGCTTACTGACCAAACAACAAGTCTGGTGTTGGGCTTAAGATCTGTCAACCTCTGGAGAATTATTAGGGTCACCACAATAGCTTATCGACCTATCACTGGCTATACTTTAGTCCTGAACATTGTTTAGGACTAAAGTAAACTCTCAGTGAGTATACACCTAGGAGCAAGAACACCTCTCATGCATATACAGAGTTTATTTTGGTCCTAGACTGTGTTCAGAACTAAAGTATAGTTGCTAGTTGGTCAGTTAGCACGTGTTGTGATCTTAATAACCCCAAGATGTTGATAGACCTTAAATCCAACACCAAATCTAACATCTTTCGTTGTCACGTGTGAGCGAGTGCTGCTCTGCCAGCTTCCCATACGACAACGTAGTGTTTCGTGGTCCACTCTGCTCTTGAACCTAATTCTACACTTCAATCATAGCCTGAAGTTAGGTCATAGCCTCAGTAAGTTACCAAGATATAAACGTACATCGAGGTCAAAGCTTCAGTTAAGCTGGAATAATCTTGATCAAGGCCACAGATAATCTACGAGGGAAAAATGAGCATAAATCTCTATCCAGAACAAGTGTATGCAATATTTTTATTCGATCGAAACTCTTATTAGTATGAAAAATTGTAAAACCCTACTGAAGAGTTTAGTCTCTTAAGATGGCATCCAATACCTTCTGAGCACGTGATCCTCTTCTTATAAACTCCAAATCTCTCGCTTGTAATAAGTTTTCCTCCGTTCTGATACATCTTTTAATTTTTAATTCTAGCAGAGTATGAAATAAAGCCTATTTCTTAGAATTCTTCATCAAGTCCCTACTATGTCTTCAAATCCATTAACAATGCCATAAAAACTTTAAAAATTTGTAAAACTTCTTTAAATCCTTAAGAATTCCAAACAAATTCTATAGAAACCCTTAATTTTTTAAAAATCCTTAAAAATACATAAACTTCTTAAAAACCATTCATAGTGCTAGACAGAACAAAGCACATAACAGAAGCATCAACACGATTTCAGGGGGAAGAAGAACAAAAAATCACACCTCAACACTATTGAAATCTTCTAACAAAGATTTTAACAATCTATGCAGATTGTGAAGGAAATATGTCCAAAGACCTACGCAAGAGGCTCCTCTACAGGTGACAGGATCAATAATTTCTAAAGAGCTAAATTGGAAGAGGAGCTACCCGGTAAATAGGAAATAAAAGTTATAGACGAGGAGGAAAATTGTAATGAGGGGGAATGTTATAAGGGCAGAGCAAGGAACAAGACGGTGAAATAGGGGCTATCGTGATGTAAAGTTAAAACAAAAATACGAGTATAGAGTCGATGTCTTAAGCAGTTAGTAGTCGGATAGGCGGGGCTCGGGAACTAAAGCTCGATCCTGCAAAACCTGGCAAGTTCTGTTAGATAACCACGAACTCTGAAGACTCACGAACTCCCAAGACTCACGAAGGAGCACAGACCCACAGCCTACATAACCCACATTCTCACGGACCCACAAACCCACGAATGTCCCAACCCACGAACTGACAGACCAACTTAACACTATGACCGCCCACTCACCCCATTCCAGATGAGAGAAAACAAAAAATGAGTGAAGCCACTTCAGTGGTAGTTCACCTGGGGGAAATGAGTGCTCTAATGGCCGTTCACCCGTGGAAATGAGTGTCAGTTGAGGGAAATGAGTCCGTGGATGGTTTAGCGACTTGCAATAAAGATATAATGAACCAGAGAGAGAGAAACCCCACCGAGCAAACCTCATAACTATACCATCACTCACAAGCGACCTGCCACTCCCCCATTTACAATCTCTCCTCATGACCAGTGGCTCGTTGAAATGAACATTGCTGTGCAAATGCAGCAAGCAAATCAAGGAATAAATGTTTTAGAGTGAAAATGAGATCAAGTTGAAAACATTTTGCAAACTTTTAAAGCCATAATGTATGTTCATAGAACAAGTCTTAACATGGAACACGAAAGTGAAAAAAAAATAATGTAAGTCAAATAACGAGTACAAATAATTTAAATTTTGTTGCAAATGGGAGAGTTTGTTGAACAACGTCATTACTGTGAACGACGATTCCACCAAAGCAGCAGCTTCGACAGCCAATGGGAAAAAACCCGCCGGATTGTTCATACCCAGACGCTGCTGGGATTTAATTGCCTCAGATGAACAGTACGCTAACGAAAGGGTTCACCATTTATCATCCCTCAAGCACAAGGTGGCCAGATGCACTAAGTGATAGGAAAGGAAACAACCCATCCTCGACTCAAGTCCATTACATCCAGCGGTCGACCCCACAGACTCATTCATAAATTTTAATATGCTGTTCATTCAAAACGGGAATTTTCTCAAGTATAAATTAATATTATAATATATTAGCATATTGTGCATATATAGGCATAGGTTAGGTTAGGTTAGGTGTTTAGGGTCTGTTGGCTATTATTTGTATTTGTAGTGCGTGGGTGAAGCATTTACAGCGTTGTGATTTGAACAAAAATCGTCAGCGAAGCACTTGTTCCGGAAGTGTTCGAACGTCATCAGTTGTGAGTCGTGTGTAAACCGTTTTTCATTCATAAACAGGGGGTTTGGCGGGTGGATGGAATGGACTTTGGCTTTTGTTTATGAGAACGGGCTGCAAACCAGTATTGGAATCCACTCACGACAAACAAATCCACTCATGACCAGTCGGATTTATCGCTTACTTTGTTTATTCTCACCTGTCAGCGGAGGTGCTGACAAGCGAGAAGAGCCTCTAGTCATCAAGCATGCTTGCACTTCCGAAACCTGTACATCTTCAAAAATAAAAACCGAAGATTTTTACTGTTATAACTTCGCAGTGCTTTGTAACTCAAACTGTTGAGTAATTGTAAGCAAAGCCGCCAACCCCGAGGAAAGATATATAGGCTTCGTAAGCGATGTGTAAATGTTCATCAAATCCTGGTCCAGCATTCTGTGGCAAGATTGTTTCATTATACTATAGTCCTGGGATACATTTAAGAGAGGAAAGAGGGTTCAAAATTCAACATTAAAGTACCTGGGTACACATTTACAGAGAAAAACAGCCCCTCCTCATCAACAAAGGCCAGATGCTCGTTAATCCAGCCGCCAAACCCGATGTTTATGTATTAAAATTGGTTTATTCACGACTTAACTGATGACGCTAGAACATTTCTCGAACAGAGCTTCGTTGACGCTCTCTGTTTGAACTCCGTAAATGCGTCACAAACGTACTTCAAATGAACATATTTACAAACAGAACTTAAATATCTCACCTAAACTATGCCTAACTATACATAGAATTTATAATATTAATTTATATGAACGAAACTTTTCGTTAACAGACAACTCGTTAAAATTTAGGAATTAGCCTTGGAGGGGGGTGGTGGTAGGGGACGGAGAGGGGGAGGCTGCCGCTTTAACAAGCCTCGTGCATATAAAGCGTCAATATTTCAGGTCTTTAGTTTTTACTAATACGACCCACTGTTAACGGATTGGTCTATTACGTAAAAAATGCATAGTATTAGGCGAGAAGACGGGTTGAAATTGTGCATTCCTGATTACCCGTGATTATAAATTTTATCCTCAAGGACAATTCTTAAGGTCTCGAGTCGTTCCCAAGAGGAATCAAGTCGGATGAACAATTGATACAACATAAGATTACGTAAGAATTTCAACCACTTCATTGACAGGCGAATGTGGCGCGTGTGTCGATATACGTCCAGCAACCGTGCAATTGTAATATACTAGGAAGAAATTCCGACCTTGTGCGTGACTTACCGAAGTGTGTCTTCAAACTAATCTCATTTTCGTTTTTCATTGTAAGAAATGTTTCCAATAATTTTGCTGAATAAACTAAAGCTGTCTAAGTAACAAGTAAAGCTGTTATTGTTTTTGTTCACTCTGAGGAGCAGCAACAACTAGTTTTTCCTTACCAAGTACACGCCAAGTTTTCCTTTCCAAGTTTTTCCTTACCATAATGACAAGTTAAGAAAGTGAAAAGGCGTCTGCATTGAACTCTTTATGGTCAAAAGTTAGGGCTTAAGAGCAGATGCTTGATCCTGCAAGCACAATTAGGCGAGTACACACACACACACACACACACACACACACACACACACACACACACACACACACACACACAAGCATTAGCCAATGCAAGATTGAATAAAATACAAACGACATCCGTAATATGTTGACCACACCACACACTAAAAAGTGAAGGGACGACGACGTTTTGCTCCGTCCTGGACCATTCACAATCGACTTGAGAATGGTCCAGGACGGACCGAAACGTTGTTGTCCCTTCACTTTCTAGTGTGTGGTTTGATCAACATATTTCAGCAACGTTATTGTGACTCCTCGTCTGCACATCCGTAATACAAAGGAAAATAGAGGGTCTTGATAACACCAAAGCCATACGTCAGGACCAGAAATCCCCAAGGATACTGAAAGAATGCACTGAAGCACTGTGTATACACCTTGAAACAATATTTTCATATAATCACAGTGGGCAAACTGCCAGAAGAGCGGAAAACGGTCAATATCGTTTCATTTCCAAAAGAGGAAGACGTGAGAAAGTAAAGTACCTAACAGAGTCACTAATAAGTATCCTATAGGATGCTCTAGGGAGACTGATGATCCATAAACAGATTAAAGGAGACAAAGCTTTATTTTATATCTAAACAAAACCTTGATTCAGTAAAGGGAAGTCCTGATTGCCGGAACGATAATCAATGCTTCTCAATTGTTATACTATGTTTTTTTTTTGTTTTTTTTTTTTATTTATTTATTTTTTTTTTTATTATTTTCTACCACAGACGTGGCCACACATTTACAATGCTAACCAGCATATATACATTTTCTTCTGTCCTCCATGGACAGGGTTAGAGAAGTGTTAAACATATAGTTCAAGGGTTTATTGAACACTCAACCACAGAAGGTGATTCGGTGCTTTTAAAATGCTAACCTAACCTAACCTAACCTAACCTAACCTAACCTAACCTACATACGTTATACTATGTTGAGAGGTCAGCATCATCAGCTGAGAAGAAAAACGTAAACATTGGGAAGTCATAATATAAAGTTAAGGTCAAGATATGAAGTCGAAATTCTAAAATCGAGAAGTGCATAAATCCAAAGTCGAGAAGTCTAAACACAACCAGGAGAAAAACAAAACTACCTACAGTTGGTGACAGTTAAAGTGGGCGTGTGGGGGTGACCTTACCTGGCGGCTGCCACAGAGTGCCAGGAGCCATCTGTCAGCTGGGCTCTGGTTAGACAGAGGGCCTTGGGAGGCTCCGGGTGCAGACGGAGCACGAGACACAGCTGGCCTCGCACCAGCTGCACCGCCAGACGGTCCCGTCCGTGTTGCGACCACAGCACCACCAGTTCCCCGTCTCGTTTCCATGTTCGAAACCTTGGCAGATGGAAAAGATAGATGGATGGACAGATGCATAGACGGATGGATACATAGATGGATAATAGACGGAAAGTATGATGCTGGGATCGATAGAGAAGTCCTCAGTGAGCGACAGAGTGGCTAAATGTACGGGGATCCTCAGTTAAAACTTTGAAATGCCGTCTAATACGTCTATGATAATTTATTTATGCACACGCCTGTCTCAAATTTATCCCTTAATTAACCCATTAATCTGTCATCAAGTTGTTAAATACATAATTAGCAGTCTCCGTGGCGCAGTAGGGGGAGTTGCTAATTATGTTTAGAATTATGCATTTAACATATTTAACCCACTTGCTCCGCGCTTCGCAAGCGAATTGCCTGGGTTCGTATCCTAGCCGGAGAGGATTGACTAGGCGCCAATCCTTAACTGTAACCTCTGTTCACCTAGCAATAAATGGGCAACTGGTTGTTAAACGATTTGTTAAACGATAAACGAAAAATTATCGCTAGTATAAATATAAGATATAAATTGAAGAATATCTAAAATTTAAAAAACTTTCACCTCTGTCTAGATTAAGTCCAAATCTGTATGATCAGTGAATATCTAATTAAAAAAAAAACTTTTATAAGTTACTAATTTACTTGAAATTGCAAATTAAGTAATTTTTGGGTAAGGTACACACATACGTAACCTTATGTATATATACATACCTTTGGGTATGTGTATATACGTGCGTAAGGTAATTAGGTAATTACGCAAGGTGATTACATGAGGTAATTAATGTACATAAAGTACACGTAAGGTAATTACGTGCATAAATAACACACAAGGTAATTACGTACATAAAGTACACCTAAGGTAATTACGCGCATAAAGTATACCTAAGGTAATTACGTACATAAAGTACACCTAAGGTAATTACGCGCATAAAGTATACCTAAGGTAATTACGTACATAAAGTACACACAAAGCAATTTCGTACATTCAAGTTAAAGTATGTTTATTGAGACAAGAAAGAAATACATCTCAAAGGGATAGAGTACCTTAGGCTATTTCTATCCCCCCTTTTACGTACATAAAGTACACACAAGGTAAACGCACGTAAATACACGTACATACACGTACAAACGTGCGTACCCGGGTGTGGAGCATCCAGCCAGCAGCAGCATCCCGACACTGACCTGAGATGGACGGTGGTGGTGTAGGCAAGAGGTGTGAAGGAGAGCGCCAGCTTCACGTAGCTGTTGAGGAGGAAGGTCGTGGGCGTGGAGGGCGTGCCACACCCTGGCCCCGCCCACCCTGGCTGGCACTCGCACCTCAGAGTACCTGGTGACCCTTGGCACCTACATGGTGGCGGGGGGAGAAAGGGGGGAATTACCAGTGATGGAACACTGAATCCAAACTAGCAAGAAAAAACACCCGAAATGAAAGGAATAAAAACAAAAGTTATTCACCCGCCCCGTGGCACTCCCACACGCCTCTAGACACTCACACACGCCTCGTGGCACTCCCACACACCCCGTGGCACTCCCATACACCCCGTGGCACTTCCACACACCCCCGTGGCACTTCCAAACACCCCGTGGCACGCTTACCTGCCGTGGACGCCGCAGACAAGGCCGTTAGAGACACAGTCCACTGCCGGACATCCCGGGGAGCTCCTCTGGTGAAGAACCTCCCGTCCCAGGTCCACCAGCTGGCGGAGGGACAATTTCGAAGCAATCATTTCGGTCAACAAGCGGCACACAACAGTCAGCTATGTCAACCAGTGGCATAAAAGAAGTCATCTGGCAGTAAATAAAGATCCTAGACAGGCTGTTCCAAAGATGGTTTACAAAACATCAGATGGGTTAACAGGCCGAATAAACTGTGATAGTCTACAGGGGAACCATCACAGTTCAATAGGTCAATGAGGCGTACAGCACAGTCCGCCTGGCCAATAGAGGGGTGGTATTCAGCAGTGTTGGCTCATAATTTAGCAGTGATATCAGGGTTACTATTCATCTAGCATTTAACGCAAACACTTACGAAACATTTACATCTTACCTCAAGCATCTTACCTTTGTTTACACTTATTCATCAGTTTACGAGCTTCAAAGCGCTAAGATGTTGTTAATAATAATAATTATCACCTTGAGTTGTGAAATTTCCAAGCTCAAACTGTTTAATCACCGTAAAGAAAACCTCTTTGATTAAGAAGAGATGTACAGGTTTCGTCAATGCTTGATGAATCAGGGCACTGCTGGATTAACCGATGATACTGATAATCAGATGGTAGACAGTAGTCAACTAATTACAACACCTAACAGGGATAGCATAATAATTTATTAAAATATTCAATTGGATCTACAAGTAATTAACCGTCAAGTGGAATGATTGTGTCTGTGTGGAATTACCCAATTGTAGTTAGAGGATGAGAGCTACGCTCGTGGTGTCCTGTCATCCCAGTATTCTCTCATATAACAGTTTGAAACTACTGACGGTTTTGGCTTCCAACACCTTTTCACTTAACTTTTTCCAACTATCCTTGACTTTTTGCAATAGATAATTTTCTAAGAGTTTTCTAGCACCTTTGCGTGTGTGTGTGTGTGTGTGTGTGTGTGTTTCACCTAGTTGTAATTTACCTAGTTGTGCTTGCGGGGGTTCAGCTCTGTCCTTTCGGCCCGCCTCTCAACTGTCAATCAATTAACTGTTACTTTTTTTTCCTCCACACACACACACACACACACACACACACACACACACACACACACACACACACACACACACACACACACACACACACACACACACACAGGAAGCAGCCCGTAGCAGCTGTCTAACTTCCAGGTATCTATTTTCTGCTAGGTGACAGGGACATCAGGGTTAAAGGAACTCTGCCCATCTGTCCCCACCGGGTGCGGGGATCGAACCCCGGTTCTTGGGTTCACGAGTCTAGAATACTGTCCGCTCAGCCACCCAGCCTGTGTGTGTGTGTGTTAGAAAAAGAGGTAAAGGCGGTTGTTAAAGGCTAATTTGTGTTTGTTTATATATAAAATAAGGCATTTTCGCGTTAAAATATGGTTTCCTAGCAGCTATAGATAATTTCACGAAGAAAAAAAAGGCACCCCACAATTAAAATCTTCCGAGGACTTTCGACCTCTGCCATCTTGCAACAAGAACCATAGCAATACCGCCTTAATTAGTTGTCTAAGTAACTAGCCAACAATTCCTATCGACCTGCCAATAAACACATATGGAACTGTAACACACAGATTTTAATTAAAATGACATCGTAACTGTTAATATTGCAATAAAACTGGACTGAAATAAATGAGTGTCGACGTTTCGGTCCATCCTGGACACCTTATGTAGTCGTCACTGCTCGAAAAGGGTCGTTTCACACTTCATAAGTGTGGGCCAAGTCGTTTCGACCGGATCATTGCATATTCAATCATTTAATATGTTCTTGAAGATGCCGAGTATATGGTTCAGACTACTCACCTCTCCATTAATTCTGAGGTTCCTCACGCACCCGAGAAACGGTTTGGGAAGCAGAGGAGCTGGCCAGCCGTACGCGGTGTGGGAGGGAGCCGGGTGGGCCAAACCTCCCACCTGAAGGGGATGTGGGGTATTCAGCAGGTGGGCCCCGTCTGGGAGTCTGGCTGTACCCCTGCACGTCTGGGGGTTCGGAGGCGTGGGCGGGGGCGCCGTGGGCGTGTCTGAGCGGTTGTGGGCGGGTCTGGTGGAGGGAAGCGGGGAGGCATCGAGGGTGCCACCAGCACATAGGTCAACAATCATCTCCACCAACTGGAAAAGGACATATCTGAAGGTCAATATTTTCAATGAATAAATAAATAAAAACAAAATCATATGATATATATGATTAAAGTATACACACAACCCACAAATCTGAAAAATAATAAAAATACAAGAACCGAGGACGTTTCGGTCCGTCCTGGACCGAAAGTAGTGAATAAAGTAAATTATAAACATTTTAGACGATATATAGTGAAAGGTTTGATGTTGTCAGTCAGATCAGAGATGTTCAGATACGGCTTATTGATTATTAATCAGTTCATTAACTATTTTCAATCGTGAAATGTTTATGCAAAGAATTATTAATGACTAATTAACAATACAATATGCATTTGAATTGAAAATGTTGGCCCTCAATAATTATTATTTTGCAAGTTTGACTTTCACATTTGAACAATTAGTGCAAAGATCTAGAGATCTTTATTCTCATTTTTAAAATGTAGTTGTCAGAATTTAATAAAATCAGTGCGCTTTAGATCTATCGGGATTATATGTATGATAGCATGTCTATCAGTCTATCTGTCCAAGGTTGGAGGCCAAACGCTTGGGCCAAGCTTCATCTAAGTTTACAGAGAACATGGTCTGGGGTATGGGATGAACATAGGATTGTCGAGATGACCCAAATGCAAAATGGAACAGCCTGCCAGAGGTCACATTCAGACCCCCCCACCTCTTCCTCCCCCCACGATGATTTTGGGCACTGCCCGCCGGATACACAGCTAGATATGTTAAAAAGAAACATTTGAACAAAAATTCTTTTCGTAATATACACCAATATTTACTAATCTAGGGGAAAATAAACCAAAAATTCCTGCTATCCATAATTTGTCCATAGTCGCATAAAACGGACGATCCTCCCAGAGATTCATAGGTTTCTCCTGCCACGCTCATCTCTTAAGAATAAATTGGGTAACTATCCTGGGGCCAGATTCACGAAGCAGTTACGCAAGTACTTACGAACGTTTACATCTTTCCTCAATCTTTGATGGTTTGGTTACATTTATTAAACAGTTTAGAAGCATGTACACTTACCACTCAACTGTTGTTATTGCTATAAACAGCCTCCTGGTGCTTTGGAACTCATTAACTGTTTAATAATTATAAACAATGCCGCCAAAGATTGAGAAAAGATGGACAGGTTCGTAAGTGCTTGCGTAACTGCTTCGTGAATCTAGCCCCTGTTTGGTATTTGGCACCACTACACTTCTCTCTCCGAGGACCATTCACAAACCAATGGTAGAAAACTAATATTTTTATAAGAGACATTCAGATAGAGACAGTAGATAGAACGAGAGATGGTTAGATTGATGGATAGATGGGTAAATGGATGCATAGATAAATATAGATTGGTGGATAGATGCATAGATAAATGAATGGATGCATAGATAAATAGATGGATTAATAGACATGTAGACGGAAAGTTAGACGAGTATATAGATGGATGAATGTATAGACGGATAAAAGGATAAATTGATGAGTATGTAGATGGATGCATGGATTTATAGATGGATGGATACATAGATGGAAAGTAGGATGCATGGACATATGAGTATATAGAAGGATGGATAGATGACTAGATGGTTAGAGAGATGTTTTGATGGATAGATACATGGATGGATAGATGGACTAATTATACATCTTGTAACCTTTAAATATCTAATAAAGGACAACATAGCACAAAAGGAAGGAGAAGGTAGGAGAAAAGAACAGAAACTGTATATGAGAGAGAGAGACAGAGACAGAGACAGAGAGAGAGAGAGACAGAGAGATAGAGAGAGATACAGGGAGAGAGACAGAGATATTGAAAGAGAAATATATGGCTTGTGTCATTTAACTTGTGTTTACATAAATATTTTTCACAGCAGACCCGAGAAAAAAAAATCCTATCACCCATTAATGACTTTTCAGTATACCAAGACCGTTTCAAATGATTATTTATCAATCACGACATAGATGTTGATAAAACTGTGAAAACAGGAAAAGGTTGACAAATCACATATACGACATGTGAATACAACCCTCACGTACTTATTCTGCACAGTTATACGACTTCGGTAAACCTAATAACAAACAAATGTTTGTTCTTCCGAATTGTCTACCGAGGTATGGAAAGCGAACGAGAACGCCGATGTGGCTTGCGAGCGTTCTTTTCTGTTCTTGGCGTTCATCATGAGTTCGCCTCATGTAACTTTCCCCATGACGGCTCTGTTGGACTGTTCACGGTCTCTTACGGATCTCTTATTCGTGATCCTCAGTCATATTTCACGATATTAGCAACCCAGTTTCTAAGAACACGGGCTCTCACTCTCTTAATCACTCCCTCCTTTTCTTTCTCCGTCTGTCTGTCTCTCTCTCATTTACGTGACAACATTCGCTTTCGGTTCGTTCAAAGCGATCACCTTAATTTCTTCACAGTGAAGTATTCCCCGTAAGCTACCAAGGTCCATCGTATTGCATCACGTTTTCACCTAAAAATTCCTAAATTTGTTTTTACCGAACAAAATTTCCAAGTAACAGGGACTGTAGTGAGCCCACAAAAAATCTAGGTTAGGCCAGATTAAACTAGGTCAAGCAGGTCAGGTGAAATTAGTTGTTTAACCACACACCACAAAACTAAGTGGGACGCAGTCTTTCTGGCAGACAATACGGTACTCTACACTAATGTTTACCAATTACCAAGAATTAAGTGGCACTTACGGATCTTCCCTGCGTCGATTAGTTTAAGACGCCTGCTTTACTGGTGTCCATTTTTCTTGAATCTAGTTCGCAAGTAATTGAATTCATCCATCGCTTCCTACGGTTTCCCATTGAAACTAATGGTTAAAGTTGCTGTACTTCATTAGGTCTTGTATTTTGTCAGAAGTGAAGTTAGAGAGAGAGAGAGAGAGAGAGAGAGAGAGAGAGAGAGAGAGAGAGAGAGAGAGAGAGAGAGAGAGAGAGAGAGAGAGAGAGAGAGAGACAGAGAGACAGAGAGACAGAGAGACAGAGAGAGACAGAAAGAGAGAGAGACACAGAGAGAGAGAGAGACACAGAGACAGAGAGAGACAGAGAGAGAGAGAGACAGAGAGAGAGAGAGAGACACAGATATATGTGTATTTGTGATTGTGTGAGAGACTCAAGAAGTACCCACCTCATATCTCCAGATCAGGTCGAGTCTATGCCAGGTGTGGTCAGCGAGTGTCTCCGAAGCCTCGAGTGAAATAGTGGCCGGGCCAGCCCCGAGGTCCAGAAGGAGGAAAGGACGACCTCCCCTTAGCTCAAGGGCCACCACGTCGCTGGGCGCCCCCGGGGTAGGCGGCAAGTGGTCCGGTCCGGAGAAGAGCAGCATTGCATCTCTGGATTCCGTCAGGAACTCTAGACTGAGGTGAACTTCGGTGCAGGGCGGGATGGACGACACCCACGCCCACCCGCCCACGGGGCTATCTTCTCCCCCGCCGCTGTCGTTCACGCCCCCGCCGCCCTCGAAGTGTCTTGACAGGATCTTACAGCGGGATCCTTGGGTCCCATAAGGACATATACATCTTCAACAGAGGAGAGAGGAAACATTCATATTCAAATCTGTCTTTAACGTGGAAAATATTAATTTCATTATAGGTGCAAAATACACACACACACATATGTACACGTATATACATACGTATATATTACAATTAAACTAAAAACATGCATAATATGTATTTATTTTATAAGTTAGCGTGCTTTGACCCACCAACCAACGTTGATCAATTAGCTTCGGACATTCCCAGCTAACAGTTAACGCTCAAATGAACGAAAGCTTATGGGACAAAGAAGCAAAAAAACGTAGCATTTCAACGCAGCGAATTTGTTGACGGTGATAGATATAATGACGAGAAAATAAGACGATACAAATAGATGTGATTTCCACTCAGAGTTAAGGGAAAGAGTGCCGAGCCTGGCTGCAAGTTGTGGCGCCGCACCTCATCCCTCACTATTTACCCCCATTTATAAGCCCCAGTCATGCGCACCAATTACATCATATGCAACTCCTATCCCTCAGTCGGGCATTGCATATAAAAGCAACTTTTCCCTATTCCTGGATACAGGAATCCCCCCTATTCACCTAACCTATCGAAGCCGATGCTCAGAAAACGTCAAAGTTTCATTAAAATTGAGACCTATTTGGCGTTTTCTTCTTCGGTCTTAGCTTCGTTGCAAAACCCTGAGAATGGTAGCCGGTGGGAGCCGGTGGGCCGAGCGGACAGCACGCTGGACTTGTGATCCTGTGGTCCTGGGTTCGATCCCAGGCGCAGGCGAGAAAATTGGCAGAGTTTCTTTAACCCTATGCCCCTGTTACCTAGCAGTAAAATAGGTACCTGGGTGTTAGTCAGCTGTCACGGGCTGCTTCCTGGGGGTGGAGGCCTGGTCGAGGACCGGGCCGCGGGGACACTTAAAAGCCTCGAAATCATATCAAGATAACCTCAAGATGGTAACGAAGCATACTATAGTACGCAAAATACTTTTCTCATCAATATGGATGAACTGTTACACACAGAGATCACACTAACGTGATGCATCCATTAAGGCGGTGTCTGGGATGCTCCCGGACGCAGGTTCGAATCCTCGTCACGGCCCTTGTGGATTTGTTCATTGGATGAATTGTTCTCACTAAAGAGGTTTCAGATCAGTAGTTCTCAGGGTTCCAGGTCTCTAAACGTGCGATTCCAGGTTTTCTCAGAGTGTATTCTTTCCAAATTTGTAGTCCTTCCTCTGACTGACATTTCTTCCATATTCCTCCCCTGGATTAAACCCTTCCCCCCCCTCCTTTCCCTTAATTTTTAGATTCCCCCCTCCCACCGGGGAATCAAGTTCCTCCCCTTGTAGAATCCCTGTTTTAGTTACATCTGTTTTTATAAATGCTATAGGGACAGAATCGTTCTATTAAACTTAAAAATATCCCGAAGTCGGGCACCGGGAGCCGCCCCTCGACCCTGCAACCATATTCAGGAGAAATTTATATGCGTAAATAACTTGGCACCATTCCTTTCCCCCGTCCCATCCCAAACCCTTATCCTGACCCAGTGATATATAGTTGTAATGGCTTGGCTCTTTCCCCCCTCATAATTTCCCTCCTTACCTGGTACCAGCGGACGTAGGGATACAACGACCGCCGTTAAGACAAGTCTCTGGGGTACAGATGGTACGGTCAGCTGGCGTTCTCGTACCGCAAGCACAACCGCTCTGGACACCCACCCAAGGCCCTACTACGGCTGATGTGTTGGCATCCACCACGGTGAAGCCTCCGCTAAGGGAAGCCTGCGCTGAGCAACCTCCGAGGCAGCTTGGCATCTCTGTCATCTCCTGGTGCTCCTCCTGACACGGGCCCACGCCCACCTCTGTGATGCTCACCCCTACAGCGTGACCCAACTGCAAGAGATACAGGACACGCATGGTAAACATCTGTGATGCAGGAAATTCCTGGTGAATATCTATGTGAGCACAACCATACCTTGTTAGTTACCACATATGTCCATGAGTAGCCATACTTTGTTGCTCACACATAAGAATACAAGAATTAAGTTACCTGCAGAATGTATATTGACCTATATGAGGCAGCTCCAATTTTGTAATCGTCCAAAACTAATTCATAACCTACGCTTGAAATAGTCACGCTTTCGCTCATTATTATGTTACCTGGTAATTTGGTAGACAGACCAATAACACAGTTTACAAGCCAGTATTTACCCAGGTCTTTCCTGTTTGTAAACTTACCCAATTTATATCCATTGTTTTGTCACGCTGCAGGAATAAATTATAAAAGTATAGTTGATCTTAAATTGTATACGTTCTATTCTATCACGAAGCGTTGAGACAACACACGATGTATGGACTGTTTCAAGCGTAGTCTAGACATATACTTAGGGCCGATATAAATTACCCCTCTACGGATTCCATAATTCCTATGTTCTTATCGTGAATGGTAAACTGAAAATTGCCAAGTCAACTCATAATAAATGATAAACACAGAGCTAAACTCTAAATTGATCAATAAGAAATTAATACATAAAACACCCACTACGATTTATTATATACACACACATTATAATAATCTTCTATAACACAATGAACCGAATTTTCGTTCTTATTCGAAATTGGAAATTCGAAAAATATTCTTGGTTAGTAAATGTTATTTTCTTTTGCCTTCAAAGTACAGAAAATGGCTAAATATTCTTGAGCTGTGATACATCTTTATCTATAAAAATCTAATGTTTGGTCGAGGTCGGGTACCGCCACAGGCAAGTGGCGGTAGTCTCCACTGTCTCACTTTAAGAAATATTGGCATCTAGACGATCCCCCTTTCCTACAATGTGATTTTCATTAAGTTTGAATTATTGGTTTTTGTCCAGACTTACCCGACTTATTGAGCTGTCTCGCTACTTTGTTATATAATTTTTCTGAGATGATGGAGAGGGAGGGAGAAGGTGAGGGGGGGGGGGGGGGAAGGCAGAGGGGAAAAAAAAAGAAGTGAGAGTGGGAGGGATAAATTTTTGAAAAGAAATGGGGAGAAAGGTGGAGTACGAGATGGCGAAGAGTGGGACAAAAATAGAAAAGGAAGAAGAGGTGGAAGAGAAGATGCTAGGGGAAACGGGAAGAGAGATGTGAGAGAGGGGAACATAGATAGGAAAAGAGACGAGAGATGGAGATTGCGAATGAGACGAGAGAGGGGAGACTGGGAGAGGAGACAGGAAAGGGTGAAAAAAATGGAGAGACCCCCAACCGCAGCCGCGTACCCTTCTCTAGTTGTTCCATAAGTCGGCAGCCTTCGGTTACCTTTAAAACTTCTTCCTTAAGCTGTCTGAGGCAAAGATTAAAGCAAAGTTTCTGGGGAATAACAACCATTTTCTAGACTTAGAGAGAAAATAACACAATCCAGACCCAAAAAGATAACCTTCGTGCACATAATTACATAATTTTTTACATAATTTTGATACAGTCTCCTAAGGCCTTCGTAGACGTCTCAGCATGCAGGAACAGTGTTAATACCCTGCGTCTTGTGACTAACCTCATCCTTACGGTGAAGGAGGATGTGGTGTAGGTTGGGGACTCCTGGGGATGAGAGCCACACCCTGGTGGTGGGCGTTGGATGAGTCTCCAGCGGCTGCACGGACACAGCCTTCACGCCCACGTCACTGCCCTTGACCCAAGCCCGTGCTGCCACCACCAGCTGACTCAGGATAGACGTTCCTCCCTGCGGCGCACAGGAAATTGTTTGTTTACATTTCTAAAGCTCTCGTGAACCCCGGAGGTATGTCCTGCTCTTGCCCGGGATTTGTACGCATTTTATTTTGACCTTGTCTATGTTCTACCCGAGCACGATTTTTTATTGTTATTTTTTGTATATTAGCTGACTAGACCTTCTGTAATATACGTGTGTATTCCTCAGCCTCTCTAATCTTTTACCTCTCTCTCTCTCTCTCTCTCTCTCTCTCTGCAGCATCCTCCATACTCCAACATTATATCGCGCTCTTCAACATCTTCCCCCCCCCATAATGACCACACCACACTTCAGACGACGAAGAAACGACGACGTCTCGGTCCGTCATGGACCGAGACGTCGACGACAAGTCATGAGATAATGGTCCAGTACGGACCGAAAAATCATCGCTTCTCCATCTTCTGATGTGTGGTCTGGTCATCATATCTTCAGCCACGATATTGTGACTCGTCGTCGTCTGACTTACAAATCTTCTCTCGCACACATCTCGCTGCCTCTCTAGCCACCATTCAGCCTCTCAGTCATCTCGCTTCGTAACTAACCCGCTGCTTCCTTTCTCCCTTTTGCTCTCCCAGATACCCTCACTCACCTCGGCGTCCTCTTTGACCACATGGTAGGGGTCAGCAGCTAGAGTGAGAGGAGTGGCGTCGATCACGTCACGGTGGCTGAGAGATTTGACCTCAACCGACACGTTGGCCATGACCCCTGACTGACCCTGGCTGGCATCGCTCACTGTGAAGCCCAACTCATACCTGAGGGAAAGACAGGTCAGACAAGGTCACTTTGATTAGCCTTAGTTTCTGCTAAAAAATGGTAACTGATAACGAGAGAGACAGAGAGACAGAAAGAGAGAGAGAGAGAGAGAGAGAGAGAGAGAGAGAGAGAGAGAGAGAGAGAGAGAGAGAGAGAGAGAGAGAGAGA